AAATAAGGGCTAAGAAGACAAATATTAGACTATTTATCTTACTGTACTGACACTGACAGATGAACACAAAAACTTGAAAAAAAATGAATTGAGCTTAATAATAACATTTTACAGCTGAAATTTTTATAAATGTTTGCAACATTAAAACTGTTATTTTCCTGTCCATTACCTGTTTATTTTATTATTTTCGTTTATTAGAAAAAAAATCTAAATTGTATGAAGTGTAATATAAATGCAACTTGACTATACATTTTCTCAGTGTCAGATGTAGTACAGTATTTCACTGTACAGTATCTTAAAACCATCAGAAATCTGTTTTTCTTAATATGGTTTACATTGAACATCTAGTAGAGACTCAAAACTATACCAAAATTACAATAGAAAATTTCATTTTTGAAGATTTCATGCTCTTGGCAGCCAATAATTCATCACACAACACAATGTTCAAAATAAACTTTTAATCCAAGTAACAGATGAATTTGGGAAAATACTGTTGAGTTTGATTGGAAGATATTGCAGACATTTTCTGATTTAAAAATTTTATATTTATTTCGCTAAGCTAAATATGTAAGTATGCATATGTATGCATTTTATTATTTATTGCATTTAGCCTTGTTTTTCCTTCTGCCAACAACCTTATTTCAACACACATCTAAATAATAAATAATTAATGATAATTAATTAAATTAATAGTACAATATGTGTGCTATCCTGAATATTTACACCATTTTGTGCAATAAATGGAAAAATTGAAAATGTTAAATAAGAATATATAAATATATTAATTAATATATAATAAAAATATATTCTAGAAAATAAAAATACATGTAAATGAATAATGTACATATGATTAAGTCTAATAAAGCATTACAAAAATCTCCCAAAAATGAGTGAATTAATACAAAAAATAAATTAAGCACTACATATCTTGGGGAAAAAAACCCTGAGTATTTTAAATGTAAAAAAATTAAATGTTGATTAATTGAGTAATTAAAATGTTGTTTTTATAAGGTTAATTGCATTTTATTATTTGTGTTTAGCTTTGTTTTTTTCCCCTTTTGCCTGCAGTGCAATCCTATCAGAACACACAGCTAAATAACATTTGTAAATATGAACTAACCAGCATCTCGTTATTCCTTATTCATAGATGTGTGGAAGTGCCACTGTCGCTCAGCGCCGCCACATCGGACTCCAGCAGTTAGAGGTCATAGCTGCCTCCACACATGACTTTCTGGGTCCCAACAAACGGCCCAAGTTTATCCAGGATGAAGACGCCGGGGATGCGATGTTGGTTTGCTCCTGTTCACGTCTGCTTGAATGTATCAAGCTGGACGGCTCAGTTGGACAGCTGCTGCTGCAGACGGTACAGGCCCAGCAGAAGCTCTTCCACTCCGGGACTGCCGCGCTGGTGTTTCTGGCTGGAGTCTGGAGTAGAGTTGCATTAGAGTGTCTATACAGAGGAATAACTGTGTTGGATATCAAAACAGCCATGAGGAAAGGACTGGAGGTGTGTTTGGAGGTATGCAAACAATCGGCTGTAAGTGTGGAAGATGTTTCTCGCCAGAAACTAAAGGACCGCAAACCTACCTCAGCACTTAAATCAGAGATTCAGGACACGAAGAGGCAGCACATGGATGTTAAACACTCTCAGAATCTCAGGTTGACACTCAAACACAGCAGACACTTTAAAACACACAAACAGCTCTGAATGACGTAACTCACATAGCGCAAGCCATCAGCCACCGATGCGACTCCTCCATGCGTTTAGTTTTAAAAGCACGCAAGTTGCAATCCAAAAACACAGAAAATGCACAAAACAGATCTTTGGATATTCAAAAACTGGTCACGTGCCTCATTCCAGGCCTTTCTGAGGAGTTTCATGGCTTTGTCAAGTTGCTCTCAGTCGAACAGGCCTCTGTGGTTCGACGACTTCAGGGTCAGGCATTAAATATCGCTTTGGTGAATGGCGATTTGTGTGAGAAGTATCGCCACGTGGGTTTTAACAGACCTGGGAATGCCATGCACATCACGAATCGCGCTAACATGTCTGGCGTGAGTCTGGAAGAGCGTTGGATTGAGGATGCATTAAGAAAACTGCATCAATTCAGCATAGATGTTGTGCTTGTGAGCGGCATGGCTGGCGTGAAACTCAAAGATCGAGTTCTTGGTACAAACGTCCTGGTTATTGAAGGTGTTAATAGCAGCGTTTTGAAGGACTTCAGCACATGCACAGATGCTGTTCCGATTTCGTACGTCACACAGATTGACGAGAACTGCGTGGGACAGGGAGTTGCAGTCAGTCAATAGAGAGATTTCAGTGGAAAAAAGGATTTCGTCACGGTCAGCATTGTGACTGCAAGCACGTCTCGGGTCATGGCGGTCATAAGCAGCTCTGTATCTGCTAAACTGCAAAGCTTGGAGGATCAGTTTTGGAGTTGCGCTCATCTGTTGCACCAAGCTCTCGCAGATGGGAAGTTGCTGCATGGCGCAGGAACCACCGAACTCCTTTGCATCCAGCAGCTTCATCAATCTAAACAGACAGAGATGGAAAACCCACAGGAAGGTGTGGTGCTGGAGCTGATGGCTGAAGCCTGGATGGATTATGTCTCCACTTTGATGATGAACAGCAGGTCGGTGGGGTCTAAAGCAGAGGCTTGGATGGCTATTGCACATCAGATGAGACTTTATAAAGATGGAGAAGCCATATCGCGGATGCAGATGGAGCTGGTGTGTATGATAACATGACTTTGAAGTCTGAAGCCTGGAGGAGAGCTCTTAATCTGGTGTTTCTGGTGCTTCAGTCTGAACACGGAGATCATTACAGGTGTCAGTGAAGGAGAAAATGTTTACAGGGAGCTCATGTATCTTTGATATCTGAGGCATAATTAAAAAAAAAAAAATCAAAATAGAATTTAAAGTTTTTATTTTCATATATTCTTCACTTTGAAGATAATTCAGGTATTTTCTATACAAGTAAAAACATGCTACAATGCATGATATTATGAGTGAAATTTGTGTAATATTTAATGGCCTGAAAAAATGAATGTTTTGTTGAATGAATTTGTTTGTCTGTTTTATACAAAAATGCATATACTTTGGAAATGTAGAAATTATTAAGTCTAATAAATGATTATAGAAAATGCCTAAAAAAAGGAATAAATGCATAAATTCAGGACTAAATTGTGTGGGGAAAATTGGGTGATTCATTAATTAATTCATTCATGCAATATAGCCTACAGATTTAGATTTGTATATTACATTTTATAAAGAAGTATGTATATGTGTATATACAGTGGGTACGGAAAGTATTCAGACCCCCTTCAATTTTTCACTCTTTGTTATATTGCAGCCATTTGCTAAAATCATTTAAGTTCATTTTTTTTCCTCATTAATGTACACACAGCACCCCATAACACACACACACACACACACACACACACACACACACACACACACATGTTTGAGGGAGTCTCCTGATTGTTTGATAGAAAGGTAACTAGTACAGATGGTAATGCCATGATGTTCTTTTAAGTACATATAATTTATTTATCATTATATCATATACAATTTAAAGGTGGGGTAAGGGATTTCTGGTAGCCAATGTTGACATTTGAAATCACCAAAACAAACACGTTCTACTACTCTACAAACTACTCACCTATCGAGAAGAAACAAAGCAACCTCGGCGTCTGATCGCAGGCCTTCCGCTCCTTGAGTTCTCTCCAGCGCTTTCCAGATGGGTCCTACTTCTTGCCTTAAGCCTTCTTTTTTCTTCTTCTTTATTGCCTTAAGACGTTTTCCTCTTTTGTTTTTTATCCGCCATCTCTATCTTTCTGTCGCTTGGCTCACTAATGTCCGTCCAATGTACTGAATGCTCTCTCCTCCACGTCATGAATAGACATGCCCCTTACTTCTTCTTCTCTCGATTTTTTTTGCGGAACATGCCCCTTACTGCTGATTGGCTAAAAGTTTGTTTTGCTATTCGGCCCGAATCTTCTTCTTCTTCTTCTTCTTTGGAATTTTTGGAGTATTCCACACCGTAGGCACATACCGCCATGGATGATAGTCCCGTCTCTATTCATATTTTATTTTATTCATTGTTAATTTTATTTCGGGTTCACCCAAGCTGTATTCCTAGCTGCTTCGGCCCGAATCTGTTTTCTAAAGCGTTTTTGAAAAATCGCTTACCCCACCTTTAATATCTTTATACCCTTCAAATCCCAGTTGAGACCATTTTCATTTGAATCACTGTTTTAGCGTATTATAGTGCCACAACGTGGACATAAATGTGCATTGCATGCATAAATACTCTGCATTTACTGATTAACTCTTAGTGAAAATAATTAAATATTCTGCTGTTAAAATAATGTACAAATCTGAAAAGAAACATATTCAACTCAAATCATATTTATTTGTATAGCCCTACAGTAAATACTATTCAAAAAAATCTATAGAGATTGGATTTATTGTGAAAAGCAGGTCTGTCTGTTCAGCTCCCAACAGACTGTACAAAGCAGAACGAGACTGATTATATAAGTGTTTATTGATGTCAAACACATTAATTAAAATAATAAAATAACATATTAACCGAAACTAAAAAATACAAATAAAAAAACAATTTTACTTTAACATTTTTAAGTGTACTTGCACTGAGGGGCCCCAGATTCAAGTTCGTAAACTTCTGAATACAACAATTGAGAGCAAGCAACTGATTATCTGCCAAACAGGACAGATAGAATACCGTCAGAAAAAGGGACATCTCTCAATGCAAAAACATGTAATAATAAAACAAATCTACGCATTTTAATGCTGCTGTGGAACACAAGCTCAAATATATTGACAGATTTATCAAATATATTTGCAGAGCACACTTGTATAAATACGATATAATAACAATACTACTAATGCTAATACTACTACTAATAGTTTTATTATCGATGGTGCTAAAGACTTTTATTTTGAAGTTCCACTGGCTCAGGAGGCCATTTTGGCTCCACGGTGGCTGGTTTCGCCCGCAGTGAGTTGGGCGGCTCATGCAAACAAACATCGGCTGAGTCCCGTCCATTCTGGCATGATCAAAACTCACACATTCGCCGCATCTACAGAGTGAAAGCGCCTGTGAAGCCATGTGGATTACCCCGGAGGAGGTGTTAATGGCCAACGCGCTGTGGGTGAGCGAGCGAGCGAATCCCTATTTCATCCTGCAGAGGAGGAAGGGACACGGGCGCGGAGGAGGCATCACGGGTACGAGATATTACCCAAATATAAACCGTCGGGGCTCGTATGCATGACAGATCACACATGCATAATGAAGGAGAGTTTATCAACGCGGTTATACTCGCTGGCGATTCATTATAACGTGTGGAATAATCTTTAGGTGGATTTGTTTTGGTCGCATCTCTTCATTGATGCTGCCTGTGTTTGCGTCATGTTTATTTATATCGGACATGTTTATGAAATGTAAGTTTATACATGCTTTATGTGTTATATTTAAGTATATTTATACGTGTATGGTTTAATGTTGTTTTAAGAAATACAGTAATAAATACAGATGGTTGAAATGATAAATTTAACATTTAACTATAGTGTTATAGCTAACGTTAAATCTATATCTTGAGTTTAATGGGAGCAAAGCCTTTGCTTGGCTTGTGTTTGTGTTGTGTCACAATATGCTAACTTCTTATTCCCTCCTGAGAAAGATATTCATGTGCGTTTCCTTAGCTCCTAAAAACAAACAGACACTCAGGCTGAAGTAAATTCACGTCTGTACACTAGAACACAGGAGAAGAAGGTTCAACACTCTTCAGCAATAAAAAAAAACAATGAAGCACAATTGTTAGTTCTCTAAAGTCATTTTTCTTATTAGTACGGTTGAACTGGATCATCAAAGGTCAGCAGCAAAGATATTGGTTAATAAAATGGGATTAGATACATCTGTGTTATTTAACATATTTAATTATTGCAGATTTGCGTCATATTCTGAGTTTGCATTTCACTGTTTTAATTCATTTTGATGAATACTAAATCTGTTTTTTTTGTGAGTGGGATGAATTAATGCACGTTCACATTTAGTCTAGAACTACAGTAACATCATGTTCACACAGCGCACACAACTCCTCTGTACTCCCGATTTCTCCCAATATGGGGACAGGAGAGCTGTCAGTCAATAAACGTGAAAACAAAGTAACTGGCATAACTTTTTTGAAACAGTAGCTCAGATATTTTCTTGTAAATTAAAAAGTAATGCGTTACTTTACTAGTTACTTGAAAAAAGTAATCTGATTACATAACTCGCATTACTTGTAATGCGTACTGGTGTTAAAGTCAGGCTTGTGCAATGTTCAACGCATTACGCATCGCAACAAAGCTTTTTCCCTTTTGAAGAAGCCAGTTAGTGTTTATGTGTCCATCAGAATCACACATTAACTGATCATGTGACCCCTGTAGGAGGAAGTCAAGATGTGTGTGACAAATGGCATGCCATGTCTTAAATTCCTCTCTCACACACGAGTGTTTATCTGGATAAATATGTGTGTCTCAGCAATGAGAACTGAAGGAAACCACTGCGCTCTGACGCCTGTTATTGACTAAAACGTTTTGTTTTCTCTGAGAGCTGTCAATCAATAAATTGAAAAAAAAAAAAAAGTAACTTCCGTTACTTATTTGAAAAACTAATCTAAAAGTAATGCGTTACTTTACTAGTTACTTGAAAAAAGTAATCTGATTACGTAACTTGCATTACTTGTAATATATTACACCCAACACTGTTCATACTGCATGTAGATATGACCTGTGAACTTTTCTCTCTTTATGTTTGTCTCTCAGGTTTGCTGGTGGGTACGTTGGATGTGGTGCTGGACTCAAGTGCTCGTGTGGCTCCGTACAGGATCCTGCACCAGACGGGAGAGTCACAGATCTTCTGGAATATTGCTTGTGGTCAGTATTTAAAGTCTGTAGAAAATCACTTGATATCCGGGTGCTAAATGTACACAAAATAGGGATGTGCCCACATGCTTATTATGCAGAAAAAGCAACAACTGCATAATTTTAGTTTTAAACTGACTTATTAGTTGGTGCTTACTTAATATATAATATTATATAATGTAATATTATTTTGTTTAAATATAATCATTACATACAATAAATAATATTATTATGTATATTTATAAGTATATTAAAGGCACAATATGTAAGATTTTTTTATTAAAATGTCCAAAAATCACTAGAACAGTGTTATATATTTTGCTGAATTGTGTACTTGCATTATCCCAGGTGTTTCAAAGAATGTTTAAATCCAGGGAAATTTTTTACTTTTTTTGGTTAAAAATGATACGAAATCAATATTTGAGCAAGTACGTAACCAGCCAGTGTTCGAAACTATCGCCTTACTTTAGCCCGGTTCACAACGGCTTATAATAATGTTTTCTAATTTGAGTTGTACAGGAAGGTACCGCTGCATCATTACGTCACGTCTGTAAACATAAAGAAGTTGTCCCGGCTACTAGGCTATCGCATGTGAGGATCCTGCAGGTGGCCGATCGTTTATAGCCTTTTCTCACAGCAGCCGGAATAATTAAATGTATCATTTTGATGGCGGATTCTAATCCAGAAAGGATCATGTGTTTATGAAACACATGTGAATGAAATTAAATTATATTCCAGTTTTAAATGTGCTTCTGATTACAGATAGCCTGGGATTACAAAAGATTTGTATTTTAAAGACAACCAGTTCGAAGGGAGCATAATTTGCTTTTTTGGGTTAAAATAATTTCTTAATATGAAATTCGAGTGGTATGACAATTAGAGGTTAGACTGTACAGAAATTGAAATCTACTTGCTTATATACACTATACTCATAGTCACGCAATGCTGATGTTGTTAAAGTTGTTTCAAGTTTTCCTTTCTCTTTGGAGTGTTACAAGCTGTTCGTGAATAGATAAGATCTGTAAAGTTGCAAAGACTAAAGTCTCAAACCCAAAGAGATATTCTTTATAAAAGTTAAGACTTGTCCACGCCCTCCTAAAACGCCTCGTTCTAACACACCCCCACATGTCTACGTCAGTGAAATCAGTGGTTAAGTAGTATTTACAACACTTTTCCAGAACAGTTCTACCCAAATATTCAGATGTGTGCAGCACATTTTATGGAGGACTGTTTCCTGATCCTGGTTCCTGATTCCTGAGCCGGCTGTTCTGACTCACAGCCTGTAAGTATATTTTCATATTTAAAGGATTTGCTACTGATGATTCAGACACGAGTTTTGAGCAGTGTAATCGTAATTTCTCCGATCACAAATGCAGACATGGTTTTATGTTTACGCGGCGCAGTGCAACACAATGCGTAAAAAGACCGTATAAGTCATTATAATCAGTAATTATGTCCCCACTGGATGCAACAAATGCCTTGTTTATAATGATTTTTATTGGTTTTGTCTCGTCGCGCCGGGACATGGCATCACAGTACGGTAAGGGGCGTAACATTTCCGTCACACGCTTGAGGAATTCGGCCAATCACAACGCACTGGATAGCTGGCAAATCAGAGCACACCTCGCTTTTCAGACCGATGAGCTTTGTAAAAATCGACGCGTTTCAGAAAGGCGTAGCATAGAGGAGAAAAAATAATGTACAGTATGTGGAAAATAATGTGTTTTTTGAAACTTAAACCGCATAAACACATTTCATCACAGCAAATACACAAAATATTTTTTTTTAGCAACATCATATGACCCCTTTAACATTAACAATTTCAGAATAAAGTTTAACAATAATAATAATTTGCACGGTTTGATGTGATATGAACTAATTTAGATTAAATCACCATTGGTAGCGGAACTTATTGTATTGCTTTTCTTTTCAGTTGGTCAGAACAAATGTGGCAGACTTGTTACTTTTTTGTTCAGATGACAGTATCCAGTGAAAATTCTTATTTGGGTCATATATTCCAAGACATAGGCTAGAATCTGTGATTGCGAAGTACAGTAAATATCCACACCGGTGCGGTGACTGACCGCCACACATACTCCTCAAAACATTAGATTCATCCGCGCTGGAGCCGAGCCGCCGCACAACCCTTGCAAGCTAGATAATTCCGCACACAGCTGCAATTGCAGGTTTTCAAACAGAGATGGCGATAAAGAGGCAAAACTTACATGACGTTTCTCAATACCAAGTACACAAAGTTCGGACTTGTGTCATTGGTAGTTCGGACTTTGCAAATTCGAGCACTTGATAACGTCACTCAGCTCGTCTTGGCTACTCCGGTTATCCTCACTGTATGCATTTACAATACGACGAAATATGATATCAAACACTGCTGCCTCTTTTCGTTTTCATTTAAACATATTAATAGCCGTCGATGCCAATGGCGTCGTGGGCAGCGCGCCGACATGTAGTGCCTTTGCGCTTCGGGCGTCCCGAGTTCGAGTCCCGGCTCGTGGACCTTTCCCCCCCCTCTCTCTCTCACCCACTTCGCTTCCTGATCCCGGCTCGTGGACCTTTCCCCCCCCTCTCTCTCTCACCCACTTCTCTTCCTGATGACCTACTGTCCTATCTAAATAAAAGGCATAAAATGCCAAAAATAAATCTTTAAATAAAAAAATTTTTTTAAAACATATTAATAGCCACAAAAATGTAGTTCAGGGAACGTACATACATTACAGTGAAACTAAATATTATATCAAACAGCATTGACTCCTTTGTTTCATTTAAAATATTAATAGGCTCACAAAAATGTGGTTCATGCAACGCGTACACGCATTACAATAAAACAAAATGATATCAAACACCACTGCCTTGTCGTTTTCTTCAAAATATAAAACACAACCCTCATTTCGTTTTCATTTAAAAAAATATAAAACATATTAATATGTGGTTTAGGTAACATGTGCACTGTTCACTTGTGTTATCTTTTACTAATATTTAAATGTGTTTGATGATCTGAAACATTAAAGTGTGACAAACATGCAAAAAAATAAGAAATCAGGAAGGGGGCCAACACTTTTTCCCACCACTGTATGTAATAGGAAATAGAGAAAAAAGAAAAAATTTCCGTCAAATATATGCAACAAAGTCAGCGTTGTATTACGATTAATAAATAATTTATGAAACATAACTTTGTGCTCAGCCAAAACGATATGACCTGGAAGAAATAATAGATTCATGAGACTAAAGATTGCCTGTTAGAGTTACCCAAAACAAATTTTACCTCATGTTTAACCACTACAGAGACATCAGAGCCAGCGGCAAATGTCAGAAGGACTAGCCGAGGTTAAGCTTCTTTCATCGGGATACATGAGCACTGAGCACCCGCTGATCGCCTGGAGCTCACGTCTCCGAAATCGGCGAAGCACATTTTCAAATAGGCGCTATCTCTATAAATAAACCGCAGATTTGAGTTTTAAACAACTACATTCTCGCCTGAAATACTCTTTAGAACTGCATTTCATGACACAATAACAATAACATATTTCAAAATAATATTTTGAAAATTATGTAGGTTTTCTCCTCCGCCATTAACACTCGCTGGTTGGTGCGAAATGCATTCTGGGATACCTGGCTGCCTCAAGTTCGCACAAGTCACCTCTGGATGCATCCTTAAAACGGGCGGAGCAAGAACACATCCGAACTTTTGAACTGTACTTGGCTAGATGTGAACTTTGAATTGGAACAGTACTTGGGCGACGACTGATGACGTTTCACAAGAACACAAGTACAGACAAGAATGCATATTGAGAAACGGCCACGGACTGCAGCTTTAAATAGTGGCTCGTCCCTAGGGCTGTGCAAAAAATCGAATGCGAGATAGTTCACTGACAAGCTACGCAAAATCGTGTTCAAAATCGCAAGCGATTCATTGCCGATTATGAACGCGATTTTGTGTAGCTTGTCAGTGAACTACGGCTCTGTGTAGTAAATGCTGCTCCATCTGAACGCACGTGCTGGAGATTTACTAATAATCACAGGAACGGCTTTACTGACGAGATGCGCATGAAAATCGCATAAAATTTTTTTGCGCAGCCCTACTCGTCCCTGGTCATTGCGTCGCCTGCCAATGACGTCATACACCCTCGATTTCCGGTTTTGCTTTGTAGAAAACATGGAAACACCAAAGATGCTTTAATATGTTATGTGTTTTATTAGACAGGTGATGACCGCACAGAGTAGCATTATAACAGAACTTTCAAATGTAACTAGTATGATAAAACAGCGCTGCTTTACCCCTGTAGGAGTGGATGCGTTTGACTGTGGCACAATAAAAAGCTCCGCTGCTTTCGAGCCGTGGTGTCACGTTCGTTCAACGGCCTCGTTTTGCTTCGACGGCTTTCAGCCTCACCATGCTTCATACTACGACGTTGATAAATCTTTAATACATTAGCTCATCCATGAACAAGCATCGGCTGTGGGGATGAAGACGACAACTCCCATGATTCCACACTCAGTCATGGCGTCATTTAGCTATGCTTTTGCTTCTTTGTTTGTTTTGAATACGTGCCCTCTAGCTGCGAAAACTTACATATTGTGCCTTTAATATTAATTGTTAATTTCTTAGTGTTCTTACTTATAGAGTTATATGGGTTGGTTAAAATTTGTAATGGATGCTTTTGAAAACACTGCTTTGTGAAGCTTAGAAACCTTTAGCAAATCTTTAGTTTCGAACCAGAAGTTCAGAGTGCATATCGAATTGCCAAAGTCATGTGATTTCAGTAAATCTCAGATCGGTTTTATAATATATATACATTTTTAATGACGCATTTATATAATAAAGAAGGAAGATTATTAGTTAATTTCCTCGCAAAATACACTACATTCATTCCATAAATTTGCATTTACATTCAATAAAAATGCAGTTTAAAGCACAACACATATGAGACACTGACAGAAGCAAGATGCAATGCATATGAAACCATTTAAAATAGTAGCACAGATGGAAACAGTGTTATTTTAGTATCAATATACTATTATAGTTTTTGTTAATATTTTAAATTAGAATTTGCCTGTATATTTAAAATTTTGTTTTTAATTTTAGTTATAGTTTTGGTCATTTTGTTTTGTTCTGAGATTTGTATTGGTTTTTATAAGTTTATTAGTTTTTTAGGACCCGATACTGCGCTCCTGTACTCGTACTCATAAAAAAGCCAAGATACCAAACGCTGATTCCACACAGCGTGTGAACAGTGCCATGTCCAGACAAAGAAACACAGACAACAGACAGCAGGATGGAGTTAGAGATTAAGGATGTCTACGAAGTATATGTATGCAATTAATATAATGTTAAACATTCAGTATACATGCCTATATAGCTGATGTGTGCGAGCTGATAAGATGAGTGGTTTGAGCTTGATGCGGTACAGATGTGCAAGCTTGTCGAGAGCAAGTAAAAAAAAGCAAGTAAATAAAACAATCCACAAGTTAATAAACTTACTACTTAATGGTAAGGGGGGAGAGAGAGAGCGCACTTCTGTTGTATGATCTTGATTGCAGTTCGCTCAAATGGTACATGCATCATTTGAATTAAAACTAAATCATAAATTTAGAAAATAGGGACATTCACTATAAACAACATTTTAAATGTCAAGCATACACGACTTTATGGTGAAAGTGAAAATAGCAGCCTGTGTGAAATGCGCTAGTCTATACGTGTCTCTCTAGTTCTGTACCAATACAAAAGTGTACGCACGTTGCGCATGTTTTGCTTGCTTGAGGTTAATTGCATTATGTGAGTCTCTTTGGACTATTAGGTCACAGCACGTTTCAGATGAATAAAAAACGTGACTTATATTTCAGAAAATATGTTCATCACAGTTAAAGGGTTCATATCATGTTGCTAAAAAGAACATTATTTTGTGTATTTGGTGTAATGAAATGTGTTTATGCGGTTTAAGGTTCAAAAAACACATTATTTTCCACATACTGTACATTATTGTTTCTCCTCTATGCCCCGCCTTTCTGAAATGGGTCGATTTTTACAAATCTCCTCGGTTTGAAAAGCAAGGTGTGCTCTGATTGGCCAGCTATCCAGTGTATTGTGATTGGCCGAGTACCTCAAGCATGTGACGGAAATGTTACGACCCTTGCCATACTGTGATGCCGTGTCCCGGAGCGACGAGGCAAAAACATGAAAACCCATTATAAATGAGGCATTTGTTGCATCCAGTGGGGACATAATTACTGATTATAATGACTTAAATTGTCTTTTTACGAGTTGTGTTGCATCGCGCCACATAAACATAAAACCATGTCTGCATTTGTGATCGGAGAAACGACAAACAATAAGCGCTACTCTACACTCCTCAAAACTCGCATTTGAATCATCAGTGACAAATTCTTTAAATATGAAAACGTACTTACAGGCTGTGAGTCAGCATTATTTGTCAGCATCATAGAATGTGGTCCGCATGCGCGCCGAAGGGGAAAGAGGGGAACTGAATTCACTGGAACACCGGCTGCTGCTATCCCAGGAAACAGTCCTCATCCTCCGTAAAATGCATTGTGCACATCTGAATATTTGGTTTGAACTGTTCTGGAACAGTGTTGTAAATACTACTTAACCACTGATAGTTGTGTCCTCTTTTGGAAGACCAAACAAAGTAGTTTCGCTTTCCCAACGAAACACACAGCGTCTCCACGACATGACGGCGGCAGCAACAATACTACAGCGAGAGTCAAAGTTACACCTTCTTTCTTTGCGTGAACAGCTGCAATATAACAAAGAGTGAAAAATTTAAGGGGGTCTGAATACTTTCCGTACCCACTGTATTAAAGGCTGTGACACCGTTAATTCTGATGGATGTGTGTCTCAGGCTCGTCTCGTAAGGAGATCACTGAACACTGGGAGTGGCTCGAGACAAACCTACTGCAGACTCTGTCCATCTTTGACAACGACGATGATATCACCACCTTCGTCAAGGGCAAAATACAGGTGTGATTTTAGTTTTATTTGTCAAAGTAAAGACATGTATTGAAGCCATTCAATTAGGATTAAGTAATTTCCTCACAGATAGTGAATTATGGTTCCTCCTCAAATCTTAGTCGAGGTCTAAATGTTTCTCTGAATAAGTAACACAGCTTTCTCTCACTTTTTGTTGGTTGCTAGTTTTACATTTTTATGTTAAAAAAAGGAAATAATCATGATTAGAAATCGGAATACTGGTTGTACTTGCTTTTTTTAATGTAAAGAATGTGAGACTGTCACTCTACATTTTTCAACATTGATAACAGAAATGTTTCTTGAGCAGCAAATCAGCGTATTAGAATGATTTCTGAAGGATCATGTGACACACAGACTTGAGTAATGATGCTGAAAATTCAGCTTTGATCACAGAAATAAATTACATTTTAAAATATATTCAAATAGAAAACAGTTATTTTAATAATAATAATAATGTATGCATTTAGCAGATGCTTTTATCCAAAGCGACTTACAGTGCATTCAGGCTATACATTTTTTACCAGTATGTAAATGATAAATCATTTTAAATTATGATAATGTTTCACATTATTACTGTTTATACTGTATTTTGAGTCATATAAATGCAGGATTGGTGAGCAGAAATATCCTTACCGACCCCAAACTTCAACTTGTTCATTGCAGGGCATCATCGCTGAAGAGAATAAAAGTGGCAAACCTCAGGAGGACGAGGATCCTGGGAAGTTCCGTGAAGCCGAGCTGAAGATGCGGAAGTTGTTTGGAATGCCGGAGGAAGAGAAGCTGGTGAACTATTACCCCTGCAGCTACTGGAAGGGCAGAGTCCCGCGGCAGGGCTGGATCTACCTGTCCATAAATCACATCTGCTTCTACTCCTTCCTGCTGGGAAAAGAGGGTGAGATACACGCATACTTGATGCATACTGCAAAATATACAGTGGAAGTAAATTTGGACAAAAACAGAAATTGGAACGCATCTAGAACCCAAACAAACAGCGTCATATTTTTGATGATTTTTAGAAATAAATGTAAAAAAAGACTGTTTTCAACACTGATAATAATCAAAAATGTTTTTCGAGCAGCAAATCATAATAGATATTAGCATGTTAGAACAATTTCTGAAAGGTCCTGTGACACTGAAGACTGCAGTAATGATGCTGAAAATTCAGCTTTGATCACTGCAATGAATTACTTTTTACAATGTATTCACATAGAAAACAGTTATTTTAATTTGTAGTAATATTTAACAGTGTAGGAAACTTTTTCCTCGTCGAAGCAGAAACCAGGAGACGTTGGGATATCTTTCATACAGAAGTCACTCTTTATTGAGGACTCGCTGTGCGTCACTGCAGTCATCCAAGTCTGACTATAGCTCAGCACAGTAGAGTTTATATACATTTTAAGGGGGCGGGATTCATTCAGTAGAGGTGGCGACAATCTAAACAAAGCATGCAAATGCAATACAGGAATCAGCCCGTTACCGGAATTTCTCCAGCCCTGATCTCATCAGCATAACAGTGTCATGCAAATGCATAGGTGCTAATCCAATCAGCATAACTACTCAAAGACTGGGGCAGAGGCACCAAGAGCCATTACAAACAAAAGGTGACTTTCTCAGTAATTTGGTTAATTTGATTAACAATAAGAGAAACCGGAACAGACAGGAACCTCTTGCTACACTTTGTTTAAGATAATCATTTGTCTGATGTAATTTACCTTAAATGCTAAATACAATGTACTTCACTTTAGTTTTTCATGTGATGCTATGTCAGAATATAGTATCAGCATATTTTAAACAGATTCTTACATTTGTAATCCAACAACAGTATTACTATTTTTACTGTATTTTTATAAAATACATACAGCTATGGTGAGCAAATAAGACTTATTTCAAAAACGTTTAAAAAAAAATCTTACCAACCCCAAACTTTTGATCGATAGTGTGTATATTAAGGTTAACAGGATTAAACAGTTATCATATATTTAATATCATATTAGATACTATCATATTAGATATGATAATTTCAACCACAGTATCTAATATGATATTATCTAATATGTATGCCAGGACTGACCAGTCAGAATTAAGTATTTCAGGTAGCTGTTGAGTGACGTGACATGTGGCCAAGTATGGTGACCCATACTCGGAATTAGTGCTCTGCATTATCCCATCCAAAGTGCACACACACAGCAGTGAACACACACACACACCGTGGCTTTTTGGTTTGGTGGGGGTTTGGTGCCTTGCTCAAGGGCACCTCAGTCGTGGTACTGAAGGTGGAAGAGAACGCTGTACATTCACTCCCCCCCACCTACAATTCCTGCAGGTACGAGACTCGAACCCACAACCTTGGGTTACAAGTCTGACTCTCTAACCATTAGGCCACGACTTCCCCCAGTGGTGTCATTTAAATGCTCTGTGAAAAGGGCTCTGTTTCATATTGAATTAAGTGTTCTTTAGTTAGTGTTAGTGCATGCTGCTTTTCTTCCACCATGCCTAATGAAATCTGTTCTTCCCCTTACTTGTTTTTCAAATCTTTTTCATCTTTATTTTCATTCCTGTGACTGTAGTTTCGCTGGTGGTGCAGTGGACAGATGTCACGCAGTTGGACAAGAACGCCACGCTGGTTTTCCCCGAGAGCATCCGCGTGAGTACACGCGACACAGAGCACTTCTTCTCTATGTTCCTCAACATCAACGAGACCTTCAAACTGATGGAGCAGCTGGCCAACATCGCCATGAGACAGCTGCTGGACAACGAGAGCTTCGCCGCCGACCGCTCGCTCCCCAAACCCTGCAAGACCCTGAAAAACGTCTCTGCGCTCAAGAGGTGAGCAGACCGCTCACAGATGAGTCTTAAATTTCATTGTGTAAACCGAGTGCCCTGTATGTCAGAATTGTCTGGTTTTATTTTGCAATTTTGTGTTTTCTCATGTTTCAGGGACTTGGATGCACGTGCAAAAAACGAGCGGTACAGAGCGCTGTTCCGGCTCACACAGGACGAACGTTTGGATGGACACACCGACTGTACACTCTGGACGCCGTTCGCTAAGATGCATGTTGTCGGTCAGATGTTTGTTTCTAACAACTACATCTGCTTTGCCAGTCGAGAGGAAGATCTGTGTCAACTTATCATTCCATTGAGAGAGGTAAACGTACACACACTAGTGCTGTCAAACGATTAATCACATCCAAAATAAAAGTTTTTGTTTATATAATATGTGTGTGTGTGTGTGTACTGTGTATATTTATTATGTATATATAAATACACACATGCATGCATATATTTCAGAAAAAAAATTATTTACAGGGTTTGTACGGTTGCTTGAAATCCTTGAAAATGAATTTTAACAGTGTTTTCAAGGTTTGAAAGTGCTTGAATTTTGGATAAAGTGCTTGAAATTGTAATTGCATTGGTTTTATAATAATATACTTTATTACTGAATAATGTTAGTTTACTTTCTAGACAAAATGCTTTTTGCATAAAATGAAAACAGCTCTGCTCCAACATTGACTCGACTCGCGCATGTGGCTGTAGTGTGATCTGTCTGTCTGTATTGACGCGCTCCCTCTGATGGAGAAGAGCGGGAGATAAACACATATGTCAGGAGGTTGCTGCTTCAGTCAGCGTTGGCTTGAAAACGACAAACACAAATTATAGTTAAAATAATGTAAAGTCTCCTGTAAAATCTGCTTTTTTTATGGGAGAGTCTGTGCTTTCAAGCCGTGTAAAAGGTAAGCAAAAATGCCCATGGTCAGTTAAGCTATATTCATGCCCATGGTCAGTTCCGCTGTGTTCATGCCGTTCCAAAAGCACCACCTAGTGGCAGACAGAACCTCATATTTTAGCCTTTAAACTATTTTTAAGGAAAAGAAAAGGGAGTAGTCAAAAGCATAAAGAATTATTTTAATTTAAAGCACACACAACTTACTGTCTAAATTTTTTTGATTTTTGAAGGCTCATAGGCACATTAGCTTATTGTTCTGAATAAAAACAGCAGACAGGCTTATTGAAAATGAAAATTCTTTATACTTTTGACTCGTTCCTCCTTTATTTAAAAAAAAAAAACATTTTTAAGGCTGAGGCTTGTCAATTTGAGGTTTGCCACTTTATTCAACTCTTTCTATTTGTGAAAATCTGTATTTAAACTGCAAATCATGTTTTTTGAAGTAATTTTATGGTTTAATATGTTACCATAGACATTGCCCTATCCTGCTCATACAGTATTAATTGTATTTGTGCAGGGTAAAAAGCCTTAAATATTATTTTAAAATCCTGCAGATACCCTGTAAATTCTTTCTTTTTTTTTATTTTATAAGTTATATACTGTATGTTGGCTATTTATATTATGTAATGCTATATGCAATCCAGGCCGGTGGTTTTTAATGGCACAATAACATCTGATTTAAAGTGAAAAACTCAAGTGTGTGTGTGTGTGTGTGCGTGCGTGTAAACATGTAATTTACCACAGTTTAAAGTGCTGTGAAAGCTTGAAAATGCACCTTGAAAGTGCTTGAATTTGAATTTGGAAAATGTGTAAGAACCCTGTATATATTAAATATAATTATATATATATATTATAAACGTTATGAACATATATATATATATATATGTATATATGTATATGTAAATACATGTACATATTTTCAAAATATATACTGTATGTGTGTGTATTTATATATACATAATAGATATACATGGTACACACACATTATGTAAACAAAAACTTTTATTTTGGATGCGATTAATCGCGATTAATATTTGACAGCACTAACACACACACACACATATATACACACACACACATATATAGTTACAACAGCTTGACGGACACTTCCTCTCTCATTCTTTCTCTGTAGGTGACTATAGTGGAGAAAGCGGACAGCAGCAGTGTTTTGCCGAGTCCACTGTCGATCAGCACTAAAAACAAGATGACCTTCCTGTTTGCCAACCTCAAAGACCGTGACTTCCTGGTACAGCGCATCTCTGACTTCCTGCAGCGCACGCCTGACAGGCCATGTGGCCTAAACACTCAATCCGTGAGTCAGAATTGATCAAAATAGTATAGTATTTCATTTTATATACACTCTCGATCAAAAGTTTGGGGTTGGTAAGATTTTTAAAATGTTTTTGTTAGAAGTCTTTTTTGCTCACCATGGCATGTATTTGATAAAAAAATACAGTAAAAACTGTAATATTGTGAAATATTACTACAATTTAAAATAATTGTTTTCTATGCGAATACATTGTAAAATGTAATTTATTCCTGTGATCAAAGCTGAATTTTCAGCATCGTTAAGGCTGATTTATACTTCTGTGTCAGACCTACGCCGTAGCCTTTACACCGTAGGCTATGCGTCAGTTTTCATTTATACTTCTGCGTCGTTGTCCACGTCGACGTGCAGTACACATGCAAACCGCTAGTCTGCAGTGTCCACGAGCATGTTGCTGGTGTAACCCGCAGTACCACGGCAAAAGCCGAAGAGGAAGTGGCTCGTCGGAGAAGCGTTATAGCCGTGACGGCGGCAAATAAATATTAAATCATTATTTAAAACTACAAAAAGGAGACAACAACGGAACAGGAGAAGATGGCATTCTTTCAATCTGCACAAGGACTTGTACCACGGCAGATAAACATTGTTTGTCGCGGACAACTACTGATGTATAATGCTATGTAGTATAATAAATGATAAGACACTTGTTCTTTGCTTTGTTTTTTTTTTATTTAAGAAGGTAACATTAAAATATATTAAAGTGCACATAAAAACACACAAAACTCGGAAGTACATACGGAGGGAGGTGTTCTAGCAGACCAATCATAGCGCTTGCGGTCCACGTAGAATTGACGCACTGTTAGATTTTTGGAGAGGTGCACGTCAGGCTATGGCGTAGGGTGTGCGTCTATGCGTAGGCTACGGCGTAGGTTCGATGCAGAAGTATAAATTGGTCTTTACTCCTTCAGTGTCACATGATCCTTCAGAAATCATTCTAATATGATGATTTGCTGCTCGAGAAATATTTCTGAGTATTATCAGCGTTGAAAACAGTGGCGCTGCTTTACATTTTTCTGGAAACTGTTTGTTTTTATTTTTTGAATAGAATAGAAACTTTAAAAGAACAACATTTATCTGAAATAGAAATCTTTTGTAATATTATAAATGGCTTTACTGTCACTTTTGATCAATTTAATGCATCCTTGCTGAATAAAAGTATTAATTTAGTTCAAAAACAAAAATCTTACTGAACCTAAACTTGTTAACTAGAGTATTTACTTATTCATGATTAAAGACATTTGCGCCGTTGAAGCATAACTCATTTCCACATTTGTCATTGCTTCCAGGAGAATCCCAGCCCGAGTACGCCACCCTCCCTGCCCCCGTCCCCTCCTGTCCTGGGGCTTGGAGAGATGCCCCAAAACCAACACTACAGCCCCAGTCTGCCCACTGCCAAGAAGGGCCTACTGCAAATCTACCAGCAGGACGTCCCTGAGGAGCTGGGGCCCAAAGTGGTGAGACACACCCCTCTCAGGTCCATCAGCCCTCATGTGAAGTGGTTAAAACAAGTATGCGTAAAAGGATTTTAAAATAATTGTGTCTGCTTATTACCCAGCTAATTAGCACTTAAATGCACTACAGTTCAAAAGCTTCTGCAAGATTCTTTTATAAATAGAAAGTACAAAAGGACTATTAAAATATCTTTATTTTCACTTTTGATCAATTCAGTGCATTCATGCTGAATAAAAGTACAAATAAAAAAAAACCTTACTGACACAAACCAACTTTATACCGAAGAACATTGTAGCCGGAGCTACTTCTCTTGACGTCCCTGAGGAGCTGGGGCCCAAAGTGGTGAGACACACCCCTCTCAGGTCCATCAGCCCTCATGTGAAGTGGTTAAAACAAGTATGCGTAAAAGGATTTTAAAATAATTGTGTCTGCTTATTACCCAGCTAATTAGCACTTAAATGCACTACAGTTCAAAAGCTTCTGCAAGATTCTTTTATAAATAGAAAGTACAAAAGGACTATTAAAATATCTTTATTTTCACTTTTGATCAATTCAGTGCATTCATGCTGAATAAAAGTACAAATAAAAAAAAACCTTACTGACACAAACCAACTTTATTTTTGTTAAAGCTGCAGTCCGTAACTTTTGGCGCTCTAGCGTTTTAATAAACAGAACTGCATGCGTCTTGCCGAAGAACATTGTAGCCGGAGCTACTTCTCTCTGTTTATGTCTATGGCGAATCAAGCAGGTACTGGGCTACTCCACAGCGGTACCTACCCGAACCAGTCTAAATAGTCCGAATATAAACACTTATTATAGGTGTACCGTAGTGATTCAGGACAAGCCAAAAACACGGTTTGGAAAATGGATTCATGGTGTAATCATGGTGGATTCATGGTGTTATTATATAAATTTTGAACACAAAAAAAGTTACGGACTGCAGCTTTAACTAAAACTAAAATAAATTAAAAAAATTATTATTTGAAATTTTCACAGAAATGGAATGAAATCTAAAAAACACAAACAAAATTGTTGCCTTGTGTTTCCTTGGTTTTGTTTTGACCTTCCTCTTTCTCCTCCTCCAGACGAGAGAGAAGATGAAAGAGGAGTCATGGAACATCCACTTCTTTGAGTTTGGCCGTGGAGTTTGTATGTACCGCACGTCTAAGACCAGAGAGCTGGTTCTGAACGGGATACCAGAGAGTTTGAGAGGAGAACTGTGGCTGCTGTTCTCAGGTAATGAGTACTCCAAACACCAGGGGGTGCTGCTCACCAAGACCACATGACATAATTTTTCTTTTAGTTTGAGTAATTTTGATAGGTAATTTTTATTAGTGTGTTTTATATATATATATATGGTACTACATCCCAGTCACATGATTTAGTTTTTTGATTCAAAATGAAATATTGTAATTTTGCACTTTTAATCTAATTTGTCAAGAAAATAGTTTATTAGTGTTCATTTGATACATTGTAAGTGGATTTATTTATTTGGAAGGAACCAAGTAAAACCAAGTCGAACATGTTGCATTATGGGATGCAGTATTCTGCTTTGTGTGTACTGTTTATGTCCTGCTCATTTTGACATACGCAGTACATCTTTTGGGTATGCAGTGCATTAAGGAACATTTGCGTACTGTGCACAGTTAACATGAGTATTATCATGCTTATTCACGTGATAATAATTAATTGTGTGTTGACTTCTGCTGCCTCTGTGTCTGACCGTCATGTTTACACAGCAGTGTGAGATCTCACATGCTGTCAGAGAAAAACAGACTGTCAGCTGTTGTTATAGAGCTGCTCTGCTCATCATTACGATCACATGACTTTTAAAACCTCTAATTTGTCCCATTTTTCAGGAGCTCAGAATGAGATGGCCACACACCCGGGTTACTATGGCAGTTTGGTTGAGCAGGCGATGGGTAAATGTACTCTAGCGACAGAGGAGATCGAGAGAGACCTGCACCGCTCCATGCCTGAACATCACGCCTTCCAGAACGAGATAGGCATCGCTGCCCTGAGACGCGTCCTGACTGCCTATGCTTACAGAAACCCCAGCATCGGATACTGCCAGGTACATACACACACACACGTTTGTTTCTGTGAATTGTGGGGACTTTCCATAGACTTCTATTACTTTTATACTGACCAAACAATATTTTTGAAGGGTGTAATCAATTTACACCTGTAATTATAAATAAAACTCTTATTGTCCTTATAAATCAGAGAATCCTTTCCAATAGACTCTTTGCAGCACATTAAAAACAGGAACATGGTGTTTGTCAGCCAATCTTGCATTGCAGTGTGCCACATAGGTCACTTGAAATGTAGGTTTTTTTTCTTTGTAATGGGAGAAATCTAGTTTTGTGTAAATTTTTTATTTGCTTACTTATTTATTGTCTTGCATATTGATGATGTTTTGCAGTCTGTGCATGTTAAGTACATTATATAAGTGCATTGTCTCAGACTTGAGTACTTCCTGGTTTGAGACCAGCAGTGCTCTGGCACAGTGTCTGTCTGTGGAGTAGTCATACGAGAGCTGCTGTTCAACATTGTTCTGCTTCATCTCTCTCTCTCTCTCCAGGCGATGAACATTGTTACGTCCGTGTTGTTGTTGTATTGTACTGAAGAGGAGGCCTTCTGGCTGCTTGTGGCGCTGTGTGAGCGGATGTTGCCCGACTATTACAACACTAGAGTTGTAGGTCAGTCACGCAAATATAAACACACAAAGAAAGTCATAACCAGTCAGATGTGACTTTCTGCTCACCAGTGTTTTCTGATCTGTGTCAGGAGCGCTGGTGGATCAGGGTGTGTTTGAGGAGCTGACCCGCGAGTGTTTGCCGCTCTTGTACGAGCACATGCAGGATTTGGGAGTCATCTCCACCATCTCTCTGTCCTGGTTTCTCACACTCTTCCTGTCTGTCATGCCTTTCGACAGTGCGGTGCTGCTGGTCGACTGCTTCTTCTACGAGGGCATTAAAGTAATTTTCCAGGTGAGGATTATCAGATGCTGCATCACATACTGGTGAAGTTTCTGAGGGTTCTAAGTCTTGGACAAGTTTGCCTACAAAATATTCACAGCATGCAAACAGCAAATGTTAATTAGGTGTGATAAGGACCCAGACCTGTATGTCATGTTATATTGCATGCAGTTGCTGATGAACATGATGTAGAACGACAGACTGCGTGATGTAATCTATAGAATGCAGTCAGTATTTCCGACAGACTTACACTCTATCTGTGGTGGCACTTTTACTGGAATTTATAACTTCGATATGTTTGGGGTGGTTGATTGCGATTTCACTTTTTAAATGTTAGTTAGTATGTAATGTTGCTGTTTGAGCATAAACAATATCTGCAAAGTTGCTTTCTTTACAAAGACTTTCTTCTTTCAGACGAATCCAGTGGGAGTTATATTAAAAATGGTCTTTGATCTTTCAAGCTATTTCATGGCACTCAGCGGGTGTTGCATGCATCAGTCCAAAAGCACTTAATTAAAATGCGCCCATCCATTAAAAAAAAAGTGTCTCACACGGCTCCAGGGGGTGAACAAAGGCCTTCTGTAGCGAATCGATGCGTTTTTGTAAGAAAAATATCCATATTCAAAACGTAATAATCACTTTAATGTAGCTTGCGCTCACTGTTGTACACTGGAAGTAGTTCCGGGCGGATGACGTATGGAGGTCAGCTTTGTGCATGCACCTCTCAGAAGTGACGAACGCGGAAGCACAGGGGAGAGATCAAAACAAAACAACAGTCACTAATTAGAAGTACAAAATGAGGAGTTGTAAAGAAGAATGTCTGAGGATTTCGATATAAGCAAAGAGGAGACTGGTTTTCCTTTGCTAAAGTAAGGAAA